ACAAAGGCTTAAGACCTAAAAACTTCTATAAAACGGTGCCCGTTTCCATTATACAGGGTGTAAAAAAAATACGGTATCTAATTTCGGTTGATGATTCTACAGATAAAAAAAAACAAAAAGTTCTTCTGAGCATATCCCCTACAATGCTTCCCGAAGAAGTTAGAGCCCTCGAAAGGGCAAATAAAAATAATATATTTTGTTAATTTCTAAGAATATTGGTAAACCGTCTTGCTTGAAATTTAGTACTTTTACACACATTTTAATGCCAATTCGCTTTGGCATTAAAATAGCGATAGTGTAAAATTCGGTAACAGCCCTGAAAGGGTACTTTCCATTAGGACAGAGAGTACTACTGATGGTACTTCTTTTATCCTTATAGATACAGTAATTTCAACAAATGAGAATTAAAGCTAAGACTTGTTTTTGTAGAAAAGGCTCTTGGTTTAGTTCGAAACGGTGAACGGTTTTCAAGATATTTGCGTTTAAAGGTTCCGCATGTATCGATTTTAGTATTACCGAAATCAGGAGATTAATTTATTTAAAATTTCTTTACATTTTATCATTTCGCTAATACAAAAATCCAGTTTATGCATCGTAACCTTTAACCGTTTCAAACTAAACGAAAAAATTAAACAGATAAAAGTACCACAAGTAGTACTCTCTATCCCAATAGAAAGTGCCCTTTCAGTGCTTTTAAACACATTAAACACGGTCGCCATTCGCTTTGGCATTAAAATGTGTGTAAAAGTAGCAAATTCAGGAAAAACGATTTACCAATGTTCTTAAAAATAAACGGAATATATTATTTTATTTAAGCTTTCGAGGGCTGTAACTTCTTCGGGAAGCATTTTAAGGGGTTCGTAGAACCTTTTTGTTTTATTTTTATCTATAGAATCACCCACCGAAACTAGATACACTATTTTTTATACCCTGTATAAATAAAAATTATTCCTGACAACATTCTCACGATTACTATAGAACATGAAATTGTTAGCTGGGCGGTGACAGGGAGAGGTATACCTAAAGGGTATACCACCTAAAAATTTAAGTAATTTTTGTTGACAAGGCAAATTTGTTTAGGAGTAAAAACCACTAACCATAAAATTGTTAGCTGGGCGGTGACGGGGAGAGGTATACCCAAAGGGTATACCACCTAAAAATATAAGCAAATTTTGTTGGCTACGCAAATTTGTTTAGGAGTAAAAACAACTAACCGTGAAATTGGTAGCTGGGCGGTGACGGGGAGAGGTATACCCAAAAGGGTATACCATCTAAAAATTTAGCAATTTTTGTTGGCTAGGCAAATTTGTTTATGAGTAAAAGCCACTAACCATGAAATTGTTAGCTGGGCGGTGACGGGGAGAGGTATACCCAAAGGGTATACCAGCTAAAAATTTAGCAATTTTTGTTGGCTACGCAAATTTGTTTAGGAGTAAAAACAACTAACCATGAAATTGTAAGCTGGGCGGTAACGAGGAGAGGTATACCCAAAGAGTATAACCATCTAAAAATTTAGCAATTTTTGTTGGCTAGGCAAATTTGTTTAGGAGTAAAAACCACTAACCATGAAATTGTTAGCTGGACGGTAACGAGGAGAGGTATACCCAAAGAGTATAACCATCTAAAAATTTAGCAGTTTTTGTTGGCTACGCAAATTTGTTTAGGAGTAAAAACAACTAACCAAGTAATAGTTAGCTGGGCGGTAACGGGGAGAGGTATACCCAAAGGATATACCATCTAAAACTTTAACAAGTTTTGTTGGCTAGGCAAATTTGTTTAGGAGTAAAAACAACTAACCATGAAATTGTTAGCTGGGCGGTGACGGGGAGAGGTATACACAAAGGGTATACCACCTAAAAATATAAGCAATTTTTGTTAGCTAGGCAAATTTGTTTAGGAGTAAAAACAACTAACCATGAAATTGTAAGCTTGGCGGTAACGGGGAGAGGTATACCCAAAGAGTATACCATCTAAAAATTTAGCAATTTTTGTTGGCTAGGCAAATTTGTTTAGGAGTAAAAACAACTAACCAAGTAATAGTTAGCTGGGCGGTAACGGGGAGAGGTATACCCAAAGGGTATACCATCTAAAACTTTAGCAAGTTTTGTTGGCTAGGAAAATTTGTTTAGGAGTAAAAACAACTAACCATGAAATTGTTAGCTGGGCGGTGACGGGGAGAGGTATACACAAAGGGTATACCACCTAAAAATATAAGCAATTTTTGTTAGCTAGGCAAATTTGTTTAGGAGTAAAAACCACTAACCATGAAATTGTTAGGTGGGTGGTGACGGGGAGAGGTATACACAAAGGGTATATCACCTAAAAATATAAGCAATTTTTGTTGGCTAGGCAAATTTGTTTAGGAGTAAAAACAACTAACCATGAAATTGTTAGCTAGGCGGTGACGGGGAGAGGTATACCCAAAGAGAATACCATCTAAAAATATAGCAATATTTGTTGGCTAGGCAAATTTGTTTAGGAGTAAAAACAACTAACCATGAAATTGTAAGCTGGGCGGTAACGGGGAGAGGTATATCCAAAGAGTAAACCATCTAAAAATTTAGCAATTTTTGTTGGCTAGGCAAATTTGTTTAGGAGTAAAAACCACTAACCATGAAATTGTTAGCTGGACGGTGACGGGGAGAGGTATACCTAAAGGGTATACTATATAAAAATTTAGCAATTTTTGTTGGCTAGGCAAATTTGTTTAGGAGTAGAAACAACTAACCAAGTAATAGTTAGCTGGGCGATAACGGGGAGAGGTATACCCGAAGGGTATACCATCTAAAACTTTAGCAAGTTTTGTTGGCTAGGCAAATTTGTTTAGGAGTAAAAACAACTAACCATGAAATTGTTAGCTGGGCGGTGACGGGGAGAGGTATACACAAAGGGTATGTCACCTAAAAATATAAACAATTTTTGTTAGCTAGGCAAATTTGTTTAGGAGTAAAAACCACTAACCATGAAATTGTTAGCTGGACGGTGACGGGGAGAGGTATACCTAAAGGGTATACTATATAAAAATTTAGCAATTTTTGTTGGCTAGGCAAATTTGTTTAGGAGTAAAAACCACTAACCATGAAATTGTTAGCTGGGCGGTGACGGGGAGAGGTATACCCAAAGGGTATACTATATAAAAATTTAGCAATTTTTGTTGGCTAGGCAAATTTGTTTAGGAGTAAAAACAACTAACCAAGTAATAGTTAGCTGGGCGGTAACGGGGAGAGGTATACCCAAAGGGTATACCATCTAAAACTTTAGCAAGTTTTGTTGGCTAGGCAAATTTGTTTAGGAGTAAAAACAACTAACCATGAAATTGTTAGCTGGACGGTGACGGGGAGAGGTATACCTAAAGGGTATACTATATAAAAATTTAGCAATTTTTGTTGGCTGCGCAAATTTGTTTAGGAGTAAAAACAACTAACCATGAAATTGTAAGCTGGACGGTGATGGGGAGAGGTATATCTAAAGGGTATACTATATAAAAATTTAGCAATTTTTGTTGGCTAGGCAAATTTGTTTAGGAGTAAAAACAACTAACCAAGTAATAGTTAGCTGGGCGGTAACGGGGAGAGGTATACCCAAAGGATATACCATCTAAAACTTTAGCAAGTTTTGTTGGCTAGGCAAATTTGTTTAGGAGTAAAAACAACTAACCATGAAATTGTTAGCTGGGCGGTGACGGGGAGAGGTATACACAAAGGGTATACCACCTAAAAATATAAGCAATTTTTGTTAGCTAGGCAAATTTGTTTAGGAGTAAAAACCACTAACCATGAAATTGTTAGCTGGGCGGTGACGGGGAGAGGTATACCCAAAGGGAATACCATCTAAAAATATAGCAATATTTGTTGGCTAGGCAAATTTGTTTAGGAGTAAAAACAACTAATCATGAAATTGTAAGCTGGGCGGTAACGGGGAGAGGTATACCCAAAGGGTATACCATCTAAAAATTTAGCAATTTTTGTTGGCTAGACAAATTTGTTTAGGAGTAAAAACCACTAACCATGAAATTGTTAGCTGGACGGTGACGGGGAGAGGTATACCTAAAGGGTATACTCTATAAAAATTTAGCAATTTTTGTTGGCTAGGCAAATTTGTTTAGGAGTAAAAACCACTAACCATGAAATTGTTAGCTGGACGGTGACGGGGAGAGGTATACCTAAAGGGTATACTATATAAAAATTTAGCAATCTTTGTTGGCTAGGCAAATTTGTTTAGGAGTAGAAACAACTAACCAAGTAATAGTTAGCTGGGCGGTAACGGGGAGAGGTATACCCAAAGGGTATACCATCTAAAACTTTAGCAAGTTTTGTTGGCTAGGCAAATTTGTTTAGGAGTAAAAACAACTAACCATGAAATTGTTAGCTGGGCGGTGACGGGGAGAGGTATACACAAAGGGTATACCACCTAAAAATATAAACAATTTTTGTTAGATAGGCAAATTTGTTTAGGAGTAAAAACCACTAACCATGAAATTGTTAGCTGGGCGGTGACGGGGAGAGGTATACACAAAGGGTATATCACCTAAAAATATAAGCAATTTTTGTTGGCTAGGCAAATTTGTTTAGGAGTAAAAACCTATAACCAGTTGGTTTCCGTTTGGAATCAACGGAGTGGCATTTTATAGAATAGAAGAAATAAACCCGCTACAAAGGTATTACTACATTCTCGTTTTAAAAAAAGCAATTTTTATTTAAATAAATACCTAATTATTATTTAAAAACACCGTGTAATGAACAGAAATAAAAAAAATTACCTTGTATCAATTTAAAACGCCCATCTATCTTAGGACCTAACAAATAATATACATTACCGAAAAACAATGCTAAAATAATTAACAGGAGTAACTTAACACGGTCAGTAAATTCCTTAATTTATTTTTTATTCTGCGATGTTCCTTCAAACAACGAAATGACCACAGTCGTTAAATATGTTGATGACTCCCGCTTTTATAATTGTTTCATATTTTTTTCCTCTGCCGGACGGGTCATAACAGCCTGCAAATTATCGGCGAAGATCTCGCGCCGGAGATAATGAAGAAACAGAAGAACATCTACCGCGAATCTTCACGGCCTTCTAGTTTTCACGGCGCTTCAAATCGACGACGTTGTTGCCCTTAAAATAGTGACCGCAGCAAATTTTAGTTACATTTTCGTGTTTGAAGTGCTCTAGTGTACGTGTTTTTAGAGTAGATTTTTGGGGATAGATTTGTAACGTTCATGAATTGGAATTCGCTTGTTAAAATATTGGGTGCATTTTTTAAAAAGCGTTGTACTTCAATTATTTTATAGTACATACATTTTAAATGTTTGTAAATAATGTCTAATATTAGTAAGGTATACAGACTGTTTCAAAAAACATGTGCCATTTCTCGTGAGGAGATTCCTCTCGTAAAAATAAGATTTATTTTTCATATTAGTACAGGTCCGATTCTGCTTAGTTTCATAGTTACAGAGTGCTAAACTCTTCATCCTTTTTTCGATTTATTATATTTATTTTCTTCCAAGTGCTTTTAGCGATTCGAAAGAAATTTTGAGGGTAAAAGTTACTATAAGTTACTATATTTTAATCTTAAAAAAGTGTTGAATATTCACCAGGGACGTGCATATGGGTTATCACTGAAATGTTTTTTTCTAAAAAAAAATATGTGCACCACTGACTTTTTTTTTGTTAACAGAATTGTAAAGACCGTTAAATTCTGATTAAAAGTTGTCTCTTGATATTGTGTCGATTTCGGTCACCTTAATGAGATGAACGCAATTAAGTTAATTTGCCTTAATCCAATTATAATAACAAAAAAATAATGTCATTAACTTGCCAACATGTTAAATAACTACTCATTGATTCCTCATCAAAAAATATATATGTTCCTATAAACATGGGTGGGGCGGAAATGCATAGTTTTAAAGTTACAGGATGTTAAAACGTTTAAAAAATAGGCCTTTTGTTATTGTCTTAGATACCATTATTTTTTTGGGGGGGAATTTGCTGTAGGTATCACTGTATCCGTAAGTTTAATAAAATTTAGTAACAAATTACATTAAGTAAAAAAATTATTAATTTTATTTTTATTAATTATTGTGATGAATAAAATTGCGTTTATTTCATCGAGGAGATCAAAATGGACATAATATCAAGATACAACTCTTAATCGGCAGTAAATGGCCTACACAGTTTTGCTAATAAGAGGAAAAAAGTCAGTGGCGCACATGGTTTTTTAGAAAAATATTTCAGTGATAACCCATATGTACCTCCCTGGTGAATCTGTCGACACTGGGAAAAAGTTACTTTTTAGCGTTAAATAGTAACTTTTACCCTCCAAATTTCATTCGAATCGCTAAAAATACTAGGAAGTAAATTATAATAAATATTAAACCTAAAAAAAATAAGACTTTAAACTCCTATAGCTACGAAACCAAGCAAAATCGGACACATGTTAATATAAATAATAAATTTTAATTTTACGTGAGGAATTATCCCACGAAAGATGGCACATTTTATTAAACACCCTGTATATTGACTTTCTTTCTACCTAGAAATTACCAAATAAAAATATAGCGTTAAGTATAAAATTTAGTTTTTTTTACGATATCTAATAGAATTTCTAGTAAAGCTACTAAAAAACATTTCACAATGCAGAGCAAACATTACATCTTACATTTTCTTTGTTTTTTTTTTGTTTTTTTTTGTGCAGTTCTAATATTTATCTATATTTATTTTTTCTCAATATATATAAATTTTAGAAAAAAAACATTAAATATGAAAAAATATGCCTTTGGTTAGTTACTGTTCAAATATTTTAAAAAGTTGTTCAAAAAAATAACGTGAGTTGATTGAAAGCTCTTGAGATCTTAATTTTGTTAAAAACAGTATAAAAAGTTTTAAAGAATTTAAAGATCTAATTTAACACAAATCTAGTATCAAACAATAAAACGTCAATAAAAAAAAGAAAAACAAGAAAAGAAAAAAACTTGATTTTAACTAATTACACACTGAAATATTCCATATTTAAAATAGTTATATAAAAGCTTGTATGTTGTTATTTAATATTTAAATAAAGAGTTTAGGGAAACAATAATACATATAAAAATAAAGCATTCCTATACCAGAAATCCAAATAACTCTATGAATCGATGAAAAATTATATACAGCATATTTTAAATGGGCCTTTTTTACGCAAAAAATGGCGGTAATGTATATTTTTTCACTCAGTAGTTTAATACAAGTACAGTAAAAAAATCCCCCTACCAGTAGGATTCGAATTGACATCAAAGTCAAATTCGTCATTCCAAAAAACTTCCAGACACCAATTTTCATCCAAATATCGACGTTAGTTCAGAAATTATTTGAAAAAATGAAACTTCTACACCCCTACATTTGCAAATAAAATCTTAATTAAAAAATACCTAAAAGCCATTAATTGTACATTACTTAACCAAGGGCACACCTTATTTTAATTATTTTTACAATTTTCTATATAAAATTTTGTTCAGAAAGTTTAAAAACAAAAAAATGCAAATCTATGCAAACTCTGAATTACCTAAAAAGTATTTTTTTATTACAAAACAGCGTCAGGATGAGACTAAGGAAAGTGAAAAATAATTGAACAATTTGTCTCAATCAAAAGATTCGCTCTTGCGAAAAATTCGACTCTTGTGCTCCTAAACAGTCTTACCTCAAGATCGATTTACGTTGTATAGTAAGGATTATGCATTTGTATTATTTACATAATTAAACTGTGAATGGATAATTGTGGAAAGATGACTTTTCAAAGTGGACTTTTAATTGTATCGATTACGCTAATAGGAAGTGTAGTAAGCATCGATGTTGCTGGACAATTAGCAGTTATAAAAAATGGTAAGTCAAAATATTTTAAATATATATTTAAAAGCAATCGCTTAAATAAACCTCATTAACTAAAGTACACTGAGATCTTTAAAGACCCCCCCCCCCTAGACCCCTATGCTACAACTCAACAGCCAAGACAAAATAAAATAATTAAGTGTAATGTATTATTGAGTGTTGTGATATTTTTAAGTTACACTTTTTAAGACCAAATAATGACGGTATTTCCAACAAATTTGTCGATATTATTTTCCTAGTTAAAAGTTATTTGCTTATACAGGGTGAGTCTTAAATAAGTGCAAATATTTTTCGGGGTAGTATATTTTGACCCTAGAAACACGTTGTATTCGCGAAGAAAAAATAGAAAATTTGGAACTTTTTGAAATTTTAAGTTAATATGGCAACATAGGTAGAAGATTAAATTTACAAGAAAGAAAACAGAAAAGATCCATTGGATCTCAAAATTGTAGAGTAAAAAATATAGGAGTATTTTTTTAAAATTTCATAATGTAATATAACTCGATTATTTTGGACTTATTTGAAAAACAGTAAAGAGAAAATATGTTTCTTTTATAGAGATCTAACCTAAAAATATTTGCATTTTTTTAGATTCACCCTGTATAGTTTGATCCAAAATAACAATATTAACCGTATGTAAAAAAAATTAATAGCTCTAGAAAATTGAAATTTAGTGTGTAGATGGTACTAATTAAGTAAAAGCTTTTATATAAAATTTTTATTTAGGTACATCAAATAAATCATTAATAAGTTACTGTAGAGGGTGAGTTTTAAATATGTACAAATATACTTAGGGGTAGTATATTGTAGTATTGAAAGTATAATTCGACTCCAGAAACACGTCTATGAGGGTTTTTTAGCGAAAAAAAGTTTTTGCAAATTTGTAATGCATTGAAAAAAAATTGGATATTTTTTTAATTTTTAGCTAAAAAACATAATATCTTGATAATATTGCAACATAGGTAGTAGATTAAATTTACAAGAAAGAAATAAAAAGTCCCAAAAAAACACTGAAATTTTAAGCAAAATATAATTTTTTTAAATTTTCATAAAAGATAAACTACAATACGTCTGTCCGTTCTGTAGCTACGGGGTATCCGTGAGAGGGGAAACGATATTCTCTCGATGTTTTTCGTAAAAAATTAGACGACGCGTCCCATCAATAAAAATTCGACAAATTTGCAAGTAGCCAATAAAATGAGTGGGCGGAGCGATTTGCGGTGACGTACTCGTCAAGTCGACGTATAAAATATATTGCTGTTTATTTAACTGTTTTTTGTCCGCATTCCTTTCATAGATACAGATCCAGCAGACGTACTGTATGTGTCTTTTATCGAGATCTACCTGAAAGTATTTGCACTAATTTAAGAATCACCCTGTATATCATAATACAGGGTTTTTGATTCAAATAACTAATCCAATTACAATTTTATAATGTATTAATTTTTATCTCCCTACTATATTAAAAATAAATGTTTAGTGTGTAGTAGTCAAAAGAGAAACATTTTTGTCTCATCGCATGTCTTCTACTAAGGCTCGGCATTTCTGGTCTTGGGTGCCGGTTTTCATGTGTACGAAGTACGAAGGGTACGGTCAACATGCTTAGTAAAACAAGATGTACCTACTGAATAAAGACAGAAAGCGAGTATTTTCCCAAGCGCATGGAATCTAGCGTTATATTAAGTAGTTATGTAATAAATACTTCGTATTTTTGCTCACTCCGACTTACTAGATTGCCATAACGACTCACTCCTGTACTCCTATACATGTCAACGCCGACCTAAAGGTTCGCTTGCCAGCAGGGTATATAGAGCAGTTAACCGTTAAAAATATATAATTCAATATTAATAATAACATTAAAACAACAATTAAATCACAATATTATCGATTTACTCAAACATGGTTCGTACTGGACTACTCAGCTATTCATTTGAAAGCAGTAATGCTGGGTGCGTCTCAATAGTGGCTCACCCCTATAACTTTTTTATTTTTCAGATTAAAAAAAAAGATTTCGTCTGTTTCACCGGAAATGACTATAACTTTTGATTTTTAAATGGCACTCCCGGTATTTTTACTTTATTCGATAGAAAATGATATTCTGAATCGAATGACGTATCATATGTCAACTTTTGGCATTCTCGCTTAATAAAAAATTGTATTTTAAATTTCAATCTAGAGTGCAATGGCTATGTTAAAAACACTAATTCTTAATCAAGAAGCCTTGGAAAAATAGACTTGATCGTCTAATGTTTTTAGTGTCTTTTTTGTCCTGGTCGGTTAAAAAATGCCCAAATCGTAGTTTTAATCATATCTGATTTTTTCAAATGGAACGCGAGGGTAGCTCGTTAGCATATTTGGAAAAAGCATTTTTTTACGAATAATTTGATACCACAAACTTGGAATTTCGAGTCAAATTTTCGTTACGAACCGCAAGTTATAGTTTCAAATAAACCATATGCAAAAATGTCAAAAGTTGACATATGACATGTCATTCTATTCAGAGTGTTATTTTCTATCGAATAAAGTAAAAAAATACTGAGGGTGCCATTGAAAAATCAAAAGTTGTAGAGTTGTAGTCATTTCCGGTGAAACAGGAAGTGACCGAAAACAATTGAATACGTCAATCAATCCTAATTTATGTCATATACTAACACACCAAATCTCGTTTTTTTAACTGAAAAAATAAAAAAGTTATATGGGTGAGCCACTTTTGAGACGCACCCAGTATAGCTGAAAATTATAAAACATGCCAATTTAATAGTATCAGAAGATGAATTGAGAGCAAATCTTCATTAATCTCTATGAGGCAAAATAATTTTTGGCAGATTCTTTCACGCGATTACTTAATTAGATTTAACTGTATCTGGTTCTGAATTAAGTTCGCACGAATCAAAAATGTTAATGGACTTTTTTTATACGTTGTATTGACCTCAAAATATACGCAAGGTATATTTGGATGTGAATATCTGTTTATAGATTGTACAGTGTAGATGAAATGCGAAGATACCGAAAAATATTACCTTTGAACTAGGACGAGTCTTCTATGTCATTACAGTTATATTTTTATGTTCCGGGGTTTCAGATATATTTAGTGCCATAACTGCAGGATTACCTATTGATGGTAGTAAAAAACGTTAAATGTGGGACTTCCAGTATCGGTCTTCCCTGTTTTCATCTGCCCGCTGTTTGTTAATTCATTATTTTATAAATACGTTTATATAGGTTCTTGGTTTTTGGTCAGTTCATAGCTTTGGTATGTTTTTAAATCCTGTGTTATTGTGCCATCTATACCCATTTGTTATTTAATGGTATCATTCCTTATTACTTGCTGTCTGGAAACTGCCATTGATCTAATAGCATCCATTTCTACTGCCTCTACCCTCTTCTTGTATTTTTCAGATATTCTGCATGTCTCTGGTCCATATAGAAGGCTGCTCTTTATCATGGTCTCATATAAAATAAATGTGACCATAAAAAAAAACAGAAAACTCAATATACAAGGTGCTACAAATTCGGAGTACGAGCATTGGTATCTCGGAAACCGTAATAGATACGAAGATGGTTAAATTGGGGCAAAGTTGCGCCTTGGGATGTTTACCAAGATACCATCAAAAAAGCTTTAAAAATTTCAAGGATTGCTGACTTCTTTGGAAAAAAACGGATTTTTTATTATTTTTTTTTTCTATCGTTATTTTTTAGAAAATCGAAAAACTAATTGCACATTCTCATATCCACTTTGTCAGGGGTATATTTTAGTATTTTTAGATTTTCAAATTAGCTAATAGTTTCTGAGATACATAGGCTAACTTATTTTTTTTAAATACGGACCTACATTTTTTATTTCAGGTTTTGAAAGAATTCTCCTGAGTACAACGATATGCCACACCACATTTTTTTTTGTTTTGAGTACTTTAACAAACAATAAAACTATTTAATTATTATTTAAAATAATTTCAAGTCCGACTCTTTTTTTTTAATTATTTAACCTGATTATATTCACCGTAACAATATTGATTAGCGCTAATTAACATTGAATAAGGAATATCGAGCCAATTGAAAGATTCAAATAAGTAATGTCCAGGTCAGTATTTTAGAGATATTATTTTTAACTTTTTGTATTATAAATTTCAAATCTCAATGTACAATCTGATAATATACATATTATTAATTATAATTATTATATACAGGGTTGTTCACCACATACGACACGGAGTATTGTAGCTAAACGATGAGATTTTTACAAATTCTAAGTTTGGGGTTCGTTGAAGAACTATTAGAGCTACAATTTAAAAATATTTTTACAAGATACAGAGTGTCCCAAATAAATAAAAAATATCAAAGTTGTATTTTTTTAAATGGAACACCCTGTATATTATTACATTTTTAGTTTCTACGATTAAAATAAAGGTAAATTTGATTAAGGTTTATTATACTTAAACCTTACCGTTTTTGAAATATTTTCAATTTTGTGAAATTGCAGTAAAAATTTTAAGGCTTCATTTCTCCAAGGGTATCAAAGTTTTTAATACTAAATATTTACTGAAGTTTATTTACTGATCAGTTATTGTGTTGCAATAATAAAAATAATACTACCTTATACAGAGTGTCAAAATTTATTTTAAATAATTATTAGCTTCAAACGGCAATAACTTCTTTAATTTAAATGGAATGCCCTGTATATTTTAGGAGAGTCAGATGCACACTTAAATTGTCTATCAAATTGTATTATACCATTTTTTACCTATCCCTTCAAGTTTTCGTAGAAAATGCATTTTCTTATAATTTAGACCTCATTTATCAATATATCAATGGAATATTGACATTTTAGATTGTTTTTAAAGCAACAAATGTACAAAATGTACAGACTAGTAATATTATCGTTTTTAGCAAAACGATAATATTACTAGCCCATTTGTATGCAAAAAGAAAACTATTTAAATCTTTATAAAAGAGTATACCATTAATTAAATATAACACCCCTATACTAATTAATGACATACTTAATTGTGTTCGTTAATAAATTATTATAAATAAATGTGGATTTTTGAGTCAGAAATCAATATAATAATAAGTTATCAAATTAAAGTCTTTGTTGTTATAAATAAGCATTTATTAAAAAATGAAATATCATTTTTAAGGTGTTACTTTTTATCACACTGTCTAATGCCTATACAAAATTCAGTTTTTTAGTATTTGGAGCAATTATTATTAATCAACGCAAACAATCAGTTAATGTAGTTTGAATACTGGAATCATATGAATTGGTCCTCTTTAACAAATATTTAAACAGTTTTTTTTTATTTTTTAATGAAATAAACGAATTATATCGACAATATTAGTATCTGTCATGTATCTGTACTCTTTAAAAATTTGGTACATCTTTAAAAATAATCTAAAATGTCAATAGTCCATGGGTATATTGATAAATAAGTTCTAAATTACAAGAAAATGCATTTTCTACGGAAACTTAAAGAGATAGGTAAAAAATATAATTTGATAGACAATTAAATTGTGCATCTTATTCTCGTAAAATATACAGGGTGTTCCATTTAAATTAAACAAGTTATTGCCGTTTGAAGCTAATAATTATTTAAAATAAATTTTTAGACACTCTGTATAAGGTAGTATTATTTTTATTATTGCAACACAATAACTGATCAGTAAATAAACTTCAGTAAATATTTAGTATTAAAAACTTTGATACCCTTGGAGAAATGAAGCCTTAAAATTTTTACTGCAATTTCACAAAATTGAAAATATTTCAAAAACGGTAAGGTTTAAGTATAATAAACCTTAATCAAATTTACCTTTATTTTAATCGTAGAAACTAAAAATGTAATAATATACAGGGTGTTCCATTTAAAAAAATACAAATTTGATATTTTTTACTTATTTGGGACACTCTGTATCTTGTAAAATTGCACAAATTTATTTTTCGGTAAATTTTATGTATTATAGCCCTTTCAACAGACATTCTTCTTATACTTCCGAATGGCATTATTGTACTCGTTGTAAATGTTAAGGTGTAGTTATTTCACTTTTACAAATGACGCCAAGTAATTCCCCCAGTCCCTTGGCTGGCCATTACCTGCTCTACCATTTCCAATCCATCTTCCGGCGAAATGATTTGATTGGTTATACAGGGTGAGTCTTAAATAAGTGCAAATATTTTCAGAGCTGGTAAATCTCGATAAAAGAAACATATTTTCTCTTTACCGTTTTTCAAATAAATCCAAAATAACTCAGCAATCCTTAAAATTTTTAAAACTTATTTGATGGCATCTTGGTGAACATACCGAGGCGTAACTTTGTCCCAATTTAACCATGTTCGTATCTATTTCGGTTACCGAGATACCAGCCCTTACCCTTATAATTTGTAGCACACTGTATTTTAATTTTTTTCGATTTTTTTTCGATATGTTATTGATTTGTTTGATTTATTCCCTACCACCAGTTCCTGTGTTATCAAATGTGATTCCCAGGTATTCATACTCTTGACATTGTATAATTTCTTCACCGTTGTCCAAATTCAAATTTCCTTCTTGTGCATACATAGATATTTTGTTGTGTCTATGTTAACTGTCAAGCCTTATTCTCTGTATTCTTCAATAAATTTTCTTAGCATATATTGCAAATCATCTGTCATTGGCGACTATTGTTTCATCTGCTATATATATATATAATCATAATTTAAGGTACGCGGACGATACAGTTCTCATAGCAGATAGTGCTGAGGGATTGCAGAAATTAATAGACCGAGTAGACCGAGAAATAGACCGAGTAGTAAAGGCATGTGATATGAGGCTTAACTACAAGAAGACCAAAATTCTAGCAGTTAGTAAAAATGATGAGGCGCAGTACCACCAGTTTAACGAATAACGAAACCTTGGAAACAGCAGATACAATCACGTGTTTGGGCTGCAGCTTGAACAAGGAATGAGATCACCCACGAGAGATCAGATGCCGCATAGAAAAAGCCAGAACCGTTTTTAACCGTCTTACAAAAATCCTACGCAATATGCACCTGAATATTGCTAAAGAACACAGGTTCTAAGGTGCTACGTATTCTCCACACTCCTATATGGAGTGGAAGCTTGGACCCTGACAGATGCTACATCTAAACGCTTGGAAGCCTTTGAAATGTGGTGCTATCGCCGCATGCTCAGGATCTCATACACTTACCATGTCACTAACAATACCGTGATCCAGAGAATGCAAAAGGAACTAGAAATAGTACATAGTGTGAAAGTGAGAAAGATGGCATACCTTGGACATGCGATGCGTAATGATAAATACCAACTTATCCAACTGATACTGCAGGGCAAAATAGATAGTAGAAGAAGTCAGGGACGCCGACGAACATCATGGCTGAAAAATATTAGACAGTGGACGGGAATGACGACCGTACATCTATTCAGGGCGGCTGTCAATAGGATTATGTGGACCAACATGATTGCCAACATCCATAGAGGATAGGCACTGAAAGAAGAAGAAGAAGATATATAATCATCTGCTGTGTGAACCATTCATTATCAATATCTATGCCCATACTACTTTTCTAATTTTTTTTTAAAGCGACAGCAACGTATATTTTAAAAAGAATATGGGAGATGCAATAATAATTGGCGTAAGCCTTTGTTGGTTATAAATGTGTATGTAACGTCTTTTAATTATTTATATCAAAAACTTTACAAAATTATTTAATTACAACATATACTTCTTGTAAGCTTTTGATATTCTACCTCTCTATTATAGTTTTATATCTTCTTATTTACATTTACAGATTGCTACGAGAGATTGGCCATAGGTGAAAAGCTGAGCCCCAAACAAACCTATAAAACATTCGACCATAATACTGTATCAAAATGCGAAATGGAATGTACTCAAGAAAAGGAAACATGCCGAGCTTTCAGCTTCGGGTAAGAAACAATACACATATCCTACTTCTACATTTCTTTGTTTCGTTTCTTAGAACGATTATGCATACATTATTTTTAATTTAAATCATCTTTTAATAAAGTGAGGTGTCTTGGTCGACAAGGAACCTCGAAGGTTACAACTTCCGTTGGCCACTTACAAGTAATCATACTAGAACCTAATTGGACTTATTCTTTTGTTAATGAGTCATATACCTACGAGTTGGTGAACAAGGTTGCTGAAAAAAATCACTTCCTTAGATAGATAATGGTAGATACCTTTGTTTATTATTTGTACCAAATTTTCGTTACCAAATAACAAAATACACATTATTTAATAGTAACAAATAATGGTAAATAATATGCTAACTATACCGTATGATCGAAAAAAAAACAGGGTGGGACAAATTGGACACTTTTAAAGGGAAATACTCTTTTCTACAGTGTGACTTTTCTACGATGTTCTCTGTGGGTATCTCGGAAACTACTGGAGATGGAGAGTCGGTTAAATGAGGGAAGAATTGCAGTTTTGTGGAGTCATCAATATGCGCTTTTAAAATTTTTGAATAAGTTCATGGCTTACTAGATATTTCGAAAAAAACAAATTTCGGCTATTTTAAAAATTGTCCCTAATTCCATTATAATCTATTTTGGACAAAAAGTTTTCAGATAAAAGTTGTAGATAATCACATCCCTAATGAGTTTGGGTTTTTTAATTTTTTCTAAAGCCTGTCATTCTTGACATATGACACAAACATATGTTTTTTTTTAAATGGCAACCATAGCTGGCCATGACTTCATAAAAAGCGCAATTTTTTAAGATTTTCAGCGATGTAAGGTGTAATATATGTTTTTTCGAAAAATTACTGTGTTATAGCCAATTCTTATCTTTCTTGACTAATTTCACATAGTTAACCATGGAGTTCAATCATCGAAGTTCAATCATCGTTGCGTTGCTCTCAGAAATGTGAAACTATCACATCCAAACTTTGTAAATTAAAATATATTATATTATAATTATGGAAACTCAGGCATAGGAAGCGGTGGACCAATTGCATGGGCTTCCTCGATTCATCGATGGCCAACAAAAAGGTTTACAAAAGAACTTATGAATTAAGAGAGGCACTCGAAGAGGCGGTACGGGAGAAGTTTAATTAAGTCGACCGGTCGTTCTGTGAGACTAGCTAGTAATTCAATTTTAAAAAGACGCATTTATGTACTCAAAACTATGGCGGATGTTTTGAACACTTTTTAAAATATATTAAAGTGTGATATTATTTTTTAAGTTTTACTTTGTGTAATGTAAATTAATCTGTCTCTTTATAAGTTATAAATCATAACAGAATGAGAATAACATACCAACTAAGTGAAATTATTCAAGAAAGATAAGAATTGGCTATAACAGTCATTTTTCGAAAAAAACATATTATACATTATATCGCTGAAATAAGGCTTATAAATAATAATAAAAAAAATTGGGCTTTTTATGAAGTCATGGCTAACTATGGTTTCTATTTAAAATACAAACTCATTAGGGATGTGATTATCTACAACTTTCATCTGAAAACCTTTGTCTAAAATATATTATAATGGAATTAGGGACAATTCTTAAAATAGCCAATTTTTTTTTCAGTCATGAATTTTTTCAAAAATCTGGGAGGCGCATATTTATGACCCCACAAAACTGCAATTCTTTCCCTATTTAACGGACTCTCTATCTCCATTAGTTTCCGAAATACCCATAGAGAACATCGTAGGAAACTCACCCTGTATACACGGAAAACTAAGATCTGTGCCGGGAGCTCAATTTTTATCAAAAACATGATGGTAAAAACCGCACATCGATATCTGTTACCGTTTCGGAGTTACGAGGTGTTTTTCAAAAATGTGCATTTCTAACATATCGCTGTAACTTTTTTGCTATTGAAAATTTTGTATTTTTATGAAAATACTTTACCTTTTTAAAACAATAATTAATTTTACTGCAGGAGGTATTCGTGTTTAATAAGTGCAATTCTTGTAACTATAAAGATTTGCCATTTCATTTAATTGGCCTCATCTATCAGTCTAATTTGTAAAAAGCAAAAATTTTAAAATTACATCGTGTTTTATGAAAACTTTTCAAATTTCTCGAGATACTCGAGAAACTCAAGAAATTCTGGTTGAGAGTTCTTCTCGTGCCTCGAGAAAGAAAAGGTCGAGAATCCAGAAACCCTATACTACAAATCAAACCAAAATAATTATTACCTAACTTTTTTTTTCTTAGGGATTGACCCCTTTTTATTGTATTACAGCACTAGAATAAGTATAATTCAATACAATACCCGTATACTAAAATATTTTACTTTTAACACTGGAATAGCGTTTTCCTAACCATAGGGTTACCAGATGAAAATTTGTCCACCCCAGGCAAGCCTTCCCAAAAATCCAGATAAAATTCAATCGTCATAATTTTTTAGCGCTATAAAAGCAAAAATAGTATATTGTTTTATTAGGAGTAAAATTGACAGTTTTTGTGGCGAGGCTGTATGTACGTTTGACGGACGAGCGTTAACGAGTCCAACATACAGACAAGGCACAAAATAATCATGTTTACTCTGAATAGAACATGCTATTTTTTTCAAACACCACAAATAATTTTTTAAACAATTTCAAACGTTCCAAATAATATAAATTTTTTTAAGTAATACCTTATAAGTAATTATATATCTATATAGAAACTACTCGGTTATGCTCGTTGAATTCGACACTTGCAGTTTAATAATATATTTTCGTACTTTTGTGCTTAGTAGTTAAAGTGCTTTACTTTTATGCCTAGGTGTTAAAATTACTTTTTTATGTTGCCAATCACGCCGCAAAAATTAATACTTTTACACTGCTGAATTTATCGACGATTTTTTAAGTAACTAAATTTATTAAAACTAATATGTTATTTTGTATTATTGGGACATTTCTTAATGGAACATTAAAACCCGAGCGCTTATGAAAAATCCGCCCGGACACAACCGGATGTAGTGAAAATCCAGACGTCTGGTAATCCTACATAGCCATCATCAGCAGATGATTAAAACACAGTTTTCTGCTGATGATTTAAATGTATATTGTATGTATGTATTATAGTAAAGTAGTGTTCTATTTTGGTTAGAAGTAGCAGTACCGTAGTAGTTAAGTTAATAGTAGTAGTAGTTAGTTACCAATTTTGTAAAAAAAAATAATACAATTAATACGTTAATTCCAGAATTGGTCCTAAAGGCAACGGGACATGCTTACTAAGCAAGATGGCTGTAAAAGAAACTGCCGATTTAAAACCTATAGGAACTATCAGAGATACAGATTTTGATCTCTACATTAAGAAAATGGACTGCAAAATAGTTATCGAACCACCTTCATTTGTGGGTGCTGAGAAACCACCGGATGAATTACATATTTATTCTACAAAACCCTTAAATGTAGGTCAAGAACAGCATGAGCATCATCATCACGATCATGAAAATCTCCCAGCAGAAGGAGATCCATATGCTCAACCATCTAGTCCAAATCTATATAGTTCATTAAAGCATCCTTATCAAGGTATTTATCATGTTTTATTCAAAACATTGTTTATATTTTCACCTAAGATATTAAAAAGAATGCCCTCGCAACGTAATAATATTATTAAAAAAATTAAATCTAGTGGTTTAAAATAGAATACTGGAAAAAAATTCAAAGTCCTTTACAAAGATGCAACCGGGGGGGCATTGAAAATGATGAATAAAAACGTAAAAATATGATTAGTGTTAATATGACTGTATTACATACATATGTTTAAATAACGAACTTAACAAAAAACAACAGATTTAAAGATTCACTGAAAAAGTAGTAATGTTAACATTAAATAAAACATTATCAATAATAATTATGCGATCGCCACCTATCCGTAAAACAAACAAGCAAAAAAACAAAATAACATACAAAACATCAGGTTAACATGATGACAGATCATGATCGATGACAGATAAAGAATTCTTACGGAAAGTTACACTTTACGATATAATTTTAACTATTAAAGACAAACCCATTTAAATACAAAACTTTTTAATACCCTACTGTATCTAAAAGACATTTTTTTTAAATTACTAAATTCTTAGCCACGCTTCTGTTTTCTTGGCTGTTGTGCCAGATTAACAGGCCCACGTTTGCACCACAAGGCGATGCTGCAGACCACTAGGTAGACCGGTCGTAGAAATTTATGTTATACAACTTTTAGTCAATCTACACAAATATTATCAAAAGCTTTTTTTCTTTTAAAATGTGTTCAGATTTCTAAAAAGTATAAGTCAAAATCGCAAAACTTAAATTTGATATGAGTTTCTTAGTTTTTAACTAATATAGTGGCGAATTACAAAAATTCCTTTTCAATGAATATTAATCAGTTAAATAAAATAATTTAATAAATTACTAGCTTTTTCCCGCGACTACGTTCGCTTTACACCTCGAATCGTTCATGCATTGATTTAAATGATTTTTACTTCTTTATAGAGAGCTAATGAGCATAGATGTTTTTATTTCTCATTTTTTTTTTTTATTTAAGAGCACTAATACTCTCTTTATAGGTTATTTTTTATTCTTTGAAGGATAATTGAGGAAGATATATTTCGTTATGATGTCACTAAATAAACCCTTGTATAAAATTTTATACTGTCTGGTTTGTAATGTTATAGTATTGCATTTTCGTACAGCAAACTTTTATTCCCTTCCCTATTCTACTCCCTAAGTGTATAAATTTCATAAATTCGCTTTATCTTTGTGCCAATTTTTATGTGTATAATCCAGAGGTCACCAAGTTTTATATAAATTTTTACTAACTTTACCCATTTGGTTGATGAACTTCAAAAATTTCCTCTAATTCTTTTTGTAGGATTTCATTCTTCTAGACCAAATAGTAAGGTATTTTCATACAACAAACTGTTCCGACATAATTTTACTCTCTAAGAGGATGAATTTCCTAAAATCGCTTTGTGTAGCTAATTCACTAATGTCGTTTAAACGAACCTTTGTGCTAATATTTATGTATCTAAAGCTGGCGGTATGAACTCACTCCTAAAATATCTAAAAACTAATTATATATAATCTAACTGACACACCACTGACAATGACAAATAATTTATTTCTGGAGGTATTGTGTTTAGGTGTTTTTCAGGTATGTTTTAGTATTTAGTCGTTTTACACAAAGAAATAGGCATTAAGCACTATAAAAATACTTCATAACAAATCTACACATATATACCTTTCATTTAAAAAAAGAATCATCAAGATTGGTGAAGTGGTTTCGGGGATGGATGCAACAAAAAACCCTTTGAGCTTTTATATATGTATGAATTAATTGTTTTTCCAACATATTTTACTTTGCAAATTTTTATAAGTATTCAGAGTCGCCAATATCGTAGTCCACCGTGTCCATCCGCGCATAGGAACAAGTTGACTGCGTAGCGTATTGCGTATTAATCGATTCTGAAACTTTCTATCTCATGTATAACATGTTACGCAAGTTTATTATTTTAATCTCGATTTTAATAGATAAATATGTGAAATACCACCTGAATATCTTCCGCCATGACATGTTTTTACTTTTTTGTTATGGTAAAGTGATTTGTATAAACTTTATTCAATAACGTATATTTTCCTCCATTTGGTGATTTTTTAATTTTAAGCGAAAATTAAGTATAACATTTTAGGAAAAAGAAACACTGTAATATTTAAAAGAATAAGAAGAAATTAGTCTTATTTTGAAAGAAAAATATAGAAAAACTCTTTCTATAGAAAAAAGTCTTTATACTAACCAGAATCCGGTGACATATACGCGGTCTCACCGGAAACATTACTTATTACTTCACATAACATGAAGAATATCTACTTTTTATAATGAACACTTCAGAAATACACCAGTAAAAACATTTATTATTTGAGATTAAAACTCGAATGAAATTATAAATATTAGTTACCTATGTTGTTCTAGCTTTTATAGGCCTGTTTAACGACTTAATAAGTAACCTAGCGAAAAAATCTGTGCGCGTACCTACCACTATTGTTACAGGTTAATTTTTTAAAGAAATATGCTACACAAATTAAAAACGCTAAAATTTTAATGGTATTACTTGTGCATTATTGGCCTTCTAATGCAATTAGTTGGAATTATATCTTCTTTAAATATAACTAGACTTTTTAACGACTTTTAAGTTACCTAGGAAAAAATCTGTGCACGTACCTACCACTATTGTTACAGGTTAATTCGTTAAACAAATGTGTTACATATTATTCGTGGTATTAGTGGTATTATATTGGCATTAGCCTTGGCATTAGTGGGTATATGAGAAATTTTGGTGTTTAATTTGTATTTTTGGCATTACTTTGGCATTAGTATACAGACATTTGTCAGCGGTTTGCTCCTTGTAGATAATCAAAAGTTTTTAGATAAAATTTGCTTTTTTATGTCAGATCATTTCTATGAAAAATTACATTAGATTTTTATTGAAGACGCTGGGTAATTAAAACATTGACTAATAAAGCTTGTCCATTTTAAATAAGGGGTCACGAAATATCCTCCTTGGAGTGTTTGGGTTAAGGGGTGTATAATAAATTAATCCTTGTTTTATAATAAAAACCATAAAACATTTATTTGTGAGTAAAATAATGCAATGGTTGGATATCTCTCCTTTATAAATTAGGTGAATAAAAATACACTAAAATAATTAGAAAAAAATCTTGTAATTATTTAGTAATTACGTCAATATTAATTAATTGACTTCTAGTCTATTTTATTTTATGTACAAATATATTATTAAATTTTAATCTAAGCATTAAGTAATAAAACACTTTATGCCCTCTTATATCGTAAGGGGTTACGAAATATACTCCTGGTTACACCCCTTACAGAAAACAGTGTAAGGGGTGCAAATACATTGTATAATCACTGTTTTTATAATAAAAACTATAAAACATTTCTTATTTGTGAGATTAAAAAAAACAAAACAATGCTTTGGTTAAAATAAGTACATTCAATACATGTATTGTGTTAGACATTTATATGCCCAGTATATTTTTGTTTAACAAACCAATCAGGATAAAATCCAAAACCTACCGTTATAGGAGGTATAAGATGATTAAACTTATATAATGACAACTACTTATCGGATAACAAATTAATTACTAGTGTCAGCTGCTGTCTAGGTAGAATATACCTAGAGTACCTACACCTACCTATGATGTAGGTAGATTAAAGCTTATTTTGACTTTACGTCTCACTTCGGTGTCACAAGCTGAATTTTTCAGGGATGGAAGTACAGTACATGATATGGGGACCCTTATTCCGAAAGTAGTACAAAAATTAGACCGGGTAAAAAGGGCACTATCATCAAAAATCGATATATTAATACCAGCGTATAGAGAAAACAAATACTTATTTTTTGATTCAGTACACAATAAAGTCTTCGTAGGGAGTAATTTTTTATAATTATTTACAAAAAAACATTTCCATTAGCGCTTATGACCAAAAAAAACTTTAAAAACATGAATAACTCATTTCAATCATGCGAAAATTTGGTTTAAAAATAGACTTTTTTTAATATAACTTTCATTTAACGAAAAACGAAGGCCTAAATGAAAAAAAGAAACAATTTAAAAGTTTCGCTTATGTCTTGACAAGGTATCAAAGCAAACCCCATATTTTTTGCTTTTAAACTAATAAAGATATATCAATAAACAATTAGCGATGTAATGGTTTTTGCGCGCGCTGGCCGACTGCCGCCGCTGCGCCGAGATTTCCTATACCCTTGTATATATGACGTCATGGTGTGGCAAATGTAGCATTTTAATTCGATTTGGGCTCCCTTATATAGGATAACAGAAACATTTTCAGTGTTAAAATAAATCATGTTCTAGGGTATGGAAATGGATATCAATATAACAAACCCCATACACCATTATCTCCACCTTCAAACCATCAAGGTGATAAGGTAGAGCATGTTCAAGCCTTAGTTAGCATTGCTTCAGGACCACAGTCAGTATTACATCCCGTTCACAATATTCTAATTTCTGGAGACAGCTATGAACCAGGATCATCTCAAGGTTCTCCAATAGCCAGTACTTATGGAGACGGTAAGAACTTCTATTATTACATAACGCAGTTTTCAAACTTTTGGTAAGTTTTCATGTTCTTCTTCTTATAGTGCATATCTACTAAGGGATGTTTACGATAATATTTTTCATTGCCTCTCTATTCCTAGTGGTATGTATTAAGGACTGTACATCGTATAGCTCTGCCGATGTTTTTACTGCCTCATCTATTATTTCCGAGTCAAGACATTTTGTTCCTTACGATACCTCTCCAGCCTTCGATCTTGCGTTCCATCAACAGATACAAGAATTTATATTTTAGCGTTATATGCCCCAGATACCTATGCGTTATTTTTTCTAAAAATTCAAACAGTTTATTCTATATCGTCAAACACGTTTTAGAATTTATTCATTTGTTACTCTAGCCATCCAAGAATTCTGCAATACAGCTACATCTCGAAAGCCTCTAATTTGTTAATAGCAGTTAGGTTAGGTTAGGCTTTCAATGTCCAACCTTCCATACAATAATGAATCTTAAACTAAGGTTTAGGTCAAAATCGGAACAGATAAGCACACTTTTGAGACCGCAGGAATGCCTGTCTTGCTTGTTAGATGCGACATTTAATTTCCTTCAATCCAACAACACCAAATGTGATGTCCAATCTTTGAAGAGCCAGTTGCCCAACTACTTAAATTTATCTCCTCTTTCTACGGGCCTTTTGTTGAATGTTATGGTAGAGTTTTTAAATATATCTGCGTTTCTGGATATTACTCGTGTAATATATTGTTTTGTGTTGATGTTAAACACATTGCTTTGATTTGTTCTCCTAACTTGTAACTATAATCAGCGATTAAGACCGTATCGTCAGCCATAGTAAATATTGTAATCCAAACTCCATTAAACTTGACTCCCATTTTACAAATAGAATAGAAGTGGAGACAGCACACATCCCTTCTAACTTGTATGGAATTGGACGTATTATTTTATTTATTTTTACAATTTTATCTGTGATATTTACTTCCACTTTAAGTCATCTATAATATATCGAACGTATTTCTGGTCTATATCAAGCCTTTTAAGGAGCTGCATTAATTTATGGTACTGTGCAAGATCGATGCTTTTTCTCAAATATCTATGAAAAACAGGCACACATTCTTTTTCTGGTCGTAGCAGTTCTGAGCATGCACCTGTGTTACGACTATAACTTCTCGTGTACCTAACCCTTCCCTAACATCCAATTGCAAGTCGCTTACGTCTCTTTCGCATTTTTTTGTAAAATTTCTGGTGTATAATTTTCAGAAATATTTTTAAGGTAGGGCGCATCAGGTTAACAGGTATGTGATCTTCATAATTTCTTGCATTGGTTTTCTTAAGCAGGGGAATAAAAGTAGAAGACAACTATTATTTGGGATAGTGGCCTGTCTCATGTATGGTGTTGAAAACTTTATGCAGTGCTGTAATGCCTCTTTCATCTAGAAGTATAAGTATTTTTGCAGGAATTTCATCTGGGACAGCCGTTCTGTTATTTTTCGAATTAAGTACGGCTATTTCAATCTCGTCTTTACCGATCAATGGGCTTGGTAGCGAGTTATTGATAACAGCTGAGGGTCGGTCATCGGCAAAATGTCTTCAATATATTTTTTCCAAACATGTTCTTCTCTGTACTTTCTAGGGCTATCTAGTTGTTATTATTGACTGTCATAGTTGATCGTACTTTATTAGCAGTCTCCTTCGGTTTTTATGGAGATTGAAGTCGTAATTTTCTTTTTGAACCTGTTTTAATGCTAAATATTTACCTTTAAGCCATTCATTCCTTGCTATTCTAAACTTTGCTCTTATAAGTCTTTGAGTATATTCGTACCATCTGTTTTGTGCTTGTATTTTCGGTGTTCAACCATTAACAATAAGATCTCATCTTTCATGATCTTTAATAAATTAAACATTGAAAAAAATAATATATTTAAATTACTAAAGATAGAAAAAAGATTTATGCGTTTTAGTCTGCTCAACGAGAGATGGAGAAAATATGGCATTTAACAGATATCGTTTTATTTCAAAACCAGTCCTCCCACATTTATTGTGTTTAGCGGTTTTTTAACATTTGAATTAGTTCTTATATTTCTTTTAATTAAAAGATTGGCATATTAAGAGTGCGTATACTTTTGCTAATTCATATAATAATCCAATTAAAAGTAAAGTGTTATTAACATCATTAATAATTGTCTTACTATTTTTGGTATTCTAGGAAACCTTCCACCATATCGACCACCTGCCCTTCACCATCCATATGATGATTGTAGGCCACAAGAGAGACCTTTCAATGGTTACGATAAACCGTCTAGACCACTACCAAATTATGGAAGCGCTAAACCAGATTACTTCCAACCGGATAACGGTTACAATTATCCAAAACCAGATAAAAACAGACCAGGTTATACCAAGCCAGAAACTGGTTATGGACAGCCTGTAAGACCACAGCTAGAATATGGAAACCCAAAACCAGATAACTTTAAACCAGTCACGGGCTACGATTATCCAAAACCGGATTATTATAAACCGGATGTAGGATATGAATTCCAAAAACCTGGTTTAAGACCAGAGTCTGACTTTCTGAGTAAGTTAATACACAAAACATCTATTTTATACTATTATTAATTTATTAAATTTTTATACGAATATACTGATCTGGTCATGGGAACTGCGTGATCTGGATTTTAACGTGTAAGACAGTGATGTAGACAGCTTAAATGACAAATCAAATGTATTAAAAAGAGATAAAGTTGGGTTGATACCATAGACTTAAAATAAAATATAGACTGAGCATCTCATTCATAAATAGCTGGAAAGTGTCAGACAATATCTTGTTATTGTTGTGTTATTGTTTTAGGCTTTAACGAGTGCGACACAAGCGATATATAGGTTGTCTCCGTCGTAAGGGTCGTTCCCTGACGACTCTGACGAGGAATGCAACACTGTCTTTAGTTTCTCAGTACACCTGAACTATCCGTACCATAGCCGGGTAATTTTTTTATTTTAATGAAGCTATAATTCAATAAAAATATATCGTATTTAACTTTTTTATATTTTATTAAGATTTAGGAGAGGTTTTTTAATAAAAGTTTAGAAAAAAACGTCCAAAAACGATAAAAATAATAAAATACATGTTATAGAAAAAAATTTAATAATCGAAATTACGTATTTAATTTTTGAAATTAATAATAAATATTAATTTTAGTCAAACATTATCTAAAGATAAAAAGAGGATTTATTCTATAGATATAATAGAATCGGCGACATGGAAAGAGAAAAAACTCCATGATTGTTGTATTTTTTTTTTCTGGTAAGTGATGTCTTATTATGCAAATTAGAGAAAACAGAAATCTGCTCCATTAAAGCAGGCTTTTAGGCAGTGGATAAAATGAAGACTATATTTATTTAACTCGCTACTGTCTTTATTATACCGGCTGCGTCCCAAAAGTGGCTCACCCCCATATTTTTTTTAATTTTTCAAACAAAAAAAACAAGATTTGGTATGTTAGTATATGACATAAATTAGGATTGATTGACGCATTCAACTGTTTTTGGTCACTTCCTGTTTCACCGGAAATGACTATAACTTCTGATTTTTAAATAGCACCCTAGGTATATCTCTACTTTATTTGATAGAAAATGACACTCTGAATAGAATGACATATCATATGTCAACTTTTGATATTTTCTCATATGGTTTAATTGAAATTGTAACACGCGGTTCATAACGACAATTGGACTCGAAATACCAAGTATCAATATATTCATAAATAAATGCTTTTTCGAAATATGCTAATGAGTCACCCTTCTTGCATTTGAAAAAATTGACATATGATTAAAAATACGATTTGTACATCTTTTAACCGGCCTAGACAAGACACGAAAAACATTAGACTATCACAACTATTTTTCCAAGGCTCCTTGATTAAAACTTAGTGTTTTTAACACCGCCATGGCACCCTGGATTGAAATTTAAAATACGATTGGTTTTTAACCGACAATGCCAAAAGTTGACATATGATACATATGTCATTCTATTAATAATATTTAAAAATAATTAATTTATGTCATATACTAACATACAAATCTGTTTTTTTTATCTGAAAAAATAAAAAAGTTATAGGGGTGAGCCACTTTTGAGACGCACCCGGTATATTAAAAAATAATGTTTCATAATGTAATATCATTTTAAAATTCTTGTATGTTATTTTAGATTCTGAAGATAGTTTTAGAATAAACCGGAATATATTTTTGATAAAAACATGATTAATTTTTTAACCGATGCCTAATATAATTTAACTTGTATAATAACTGGGTTATAATTATGATTTTGTTACAAAAACTTTTATATAAATGATTATGTAATAGAAAAAAATCAGATTTTACATTTTACCAAAGAATATCTTAATACCCTAGAAGTCTCGTCTGGCATCAAAATCTGACCTGTCGATGGGGCCTCGCTTTGGCGAGCGAGGCCCCAACTTCGTGGAGCCTCGCTATTTTGCTCGGAATTGAACGAATAGACGCGCGGCGTTGCCTTGTTTTGTGTGTACTTTCTTGAATAGTTTTAAATTATAGTTTTAAATTTTATCTATTACTATAATCAGTCTTTCCGTTCTCCGCACTCGCAGTTTACATATAATATTATCTTATATAATTCTGTGTTACAGTTTTGTTACTGTAATCCTCCTGAAACGGCTTAACCGATTTTGATGAAATTTTATATGTATATTCAGTAGGTCTGAGGAATAGGTAGTTATATATTTTCATACCCTTAAATGATAAGGGGTAGTCCAATTTTACATTTTTTTTATTTTGTGAAAAACAATATTTTAATTTTTTTATTTGGCATTAAAATACAAACAACACTAAATTTTCAATTGTTCTACTTTCATCCTATTTTTAATAGGGGTTACTTTTTTTAATTTTTGTTACCATCTCCGAAACGGCTTAACTGATTTTGATAAAATTTTATATGTATATTCAGTAATGTCTAAGAATAAGTTGTTATCTATTTTTATACCCTTAACTGATATGGGTAGCCGAGAGGGTAACCCACCCTCATTTTTTAGTTTTTGAAAAGAAAAAATGTTTTTATTTTTTTTATTTGGCATTAAGAAATACAAACAACCATAAATTTTCACCGTTCTGTTATCATCCCCTATTCGCGAGCAGCGAGGTCGGTACGCCACACTCGATGTTGTTGCGGGCCGCCGAGTAATCCTCGAGGATCGACAAAAATGCTCGAGACATACCGAGGATATGAATACTCGGATGACCGAGTATTTTTCACTCGAGTGATCCCATCACTAGAAATTTTATATGTATATTCAGTAGGTCTGAGAATACGTTGTTATCTGTTTTTATACCCTTAAGTGATAAGGATAGCCCACCCCCATTTTTTTTATTTAAATTTGGCATTAAAAAATATTATTTGGCATTAAAAAATACAAACAACCCTAAGTTTTCACCGTTCTACCATCATCCCCTATTTTTTAATAGGGGATGTTTTTTATTAATTTTTTGTTACCATCTCCGAAACGGCTTGATCGATTTTGATGAAATTTTATATGTATATTCAGTAGGTCTGAGAATAGGTAGTTATATATTTTTTATACCCTTAAATGATAAGGGTAGTCCACCCCCATTTTTTTATTTTGTGAAAAAACAATATTTTAATTTTTTTTTATTTGGCATTAAAAAATACAAACAACACTAAATTTTCACCGTTCTACTTTCATCCCCTATTTTTTAATAGGGGTTGTTTTTTTAATTTTTTGTTACCATCTCCGAAACGGCTTAACCGATTTTGATAAAATTTTATATGTATATTCAGTACGTCTAAGAATAAGTTGTTATCTATTTTTATACCCTTAACTGATAAGGGTAGCCGAGAGGGTAACCCACCCTCATTTTTTTTTAGTTTTTGAAAAGAAAAAAATGTTTTTTATTTTTTTATTTGGCATTAAGAAATACAAACAACCCTAAATTTTCACCGTTCTGCTATCATCCCCTATTTTTAATAGGGGTTGTTTTTTATTTTTTTTTGTTGCCATCTCCGAAACGGCTTAGCCGATTTTGATGAAATTTTATAAGTATATTGAGTAGGTCTGAAAACAGGTTGTTATATATTTTTTATACCCTTAAGTGATAAGGGTAGCCCACCCCCATTTTTTTATTTTTGAAAAAAAAAAAAATATTTAAATTTTTTTTATTTGTCATTAAAAGTACAAACAACCCTAAATTTTCACCGTTCTACCATCATCCCTATTTTTTAACAGGGGTTGTTTTTAAGATTTTTTGTTACCATCTCCGAAACGACTTAACCGATTTTGATAAAATTTTATTTGTATATTCAGTACGTCTAAGAATAGGTTGTTATCTATTCTTATACCCTTAAGTGATAAGGGTAACCGAGAGGGTAGCCCACCCTCATTTTTTTATTTTTGGAAAAAAAAATAATTTTTTTTATTTGGCCTTAACAATACAAACAACTCTAAATTTTCACCGTTCTACCATCTTCCCCTATTTTCTAATAGGGGTTGTTTTTTTGATACCATCTCCGAAACGGCTTGGCCGATTTTGATGACATTTTATTATGTATATTGAGTAGGTCTGAAAATAGTTTGTTGTCTATTTTTTATACCCTTAAGTGGTAAGGGTAGCCCACCCCATTTTTATTTTTTTGAAAAAATTATTTTATTTTTTTTATTTGGCATTAAAAAATACAAACAACCCTAAATTTTCACCGTTCTACCATCATCCCCTATTTTTTAATAGGGGTTGTTTTTTTTAAGTTTTTTGTTACCATCTCCGATTGACCGATTTTGATAAAATTTTATATGTATGTATATTCAGTACGTCTAAGAAGTTGTTATCTATTCTTATACCCTTAAGTGATAAGTAGATAAGTAGCCGAGAGGGTAGCCTACCCTCATTTTTTTTATTTTTGAAAAAAAAAATATTTTTTTTATTTGGCCTTAAAAAAATACAAACAACTCTAAATTTTCACCGTTCTACCATCATCCCCTATTTTTTAATAGGGGTTGTTTTTTTAAAGTTTCTTGTTACCATTTCCGAAACGGTTTTGCCGATTTTGATGAAATTTTATTATGTATATTGAGTAGGTCTGAAAATAGTTTGTTATCTATTTTTTATACCCTTAAGTGATAAGGGTAGTCCATTCCCATTTTTTATATTTTGAAAAATATATATTTTTTATTTTTATTTTGCATTAAAAAATACAAAGAACCCAAAATATTCACCGTTCTACCTTCCCCCTATTTTTTAATAGGGGTTGTTTTTTTAATTTTTTGTTACCATCCGTGAAACGGCTTTGACCGATTTTGATAAAATTTTATATGTATATTCAGTACCTCTAAGAATAGGTTGTTATCTATTTTTTATACCCTTATGTGGTAAGGGTAGCCCACCCTCATTTTTTATTTTTTGAAAAGAAAAAATGTTTTTATTTTTTAGTTGGCATTAATAAATACAAATAACCCTAAATTTTCACCATTCCACCATCATCCCTATATTTTAATAGGGGTTGTTTTTTAAATTTTTGTTACCATCTCCGAAACAGCTAGACCGATTTTGATAAAATTTTATATGTATATTCAGTAGGTCTGGTTTGGTTTGGTTTGGTCACAACCTATTCCTAGGTTGTTATCTATTTTTATACCCCTAAGTGATAAGAGTGGCCCACCCCAACTTTTTTTATTTTTTTAGACAAATTTTTATTTTAATTGTTTTATAGGGAGTGCTTATTTTTTAGGGGGTGCATGTCCAAAATTTTCTTCTGGGTACACACTTTCATCACTTAAGGGACCTCTGTACAAAATTGCATACTCCTAGTCCTAGAACGGAACTTACATAAAAATTATACAAATTTTTACCCTTAGTTTTACGCCCTTAAGGAATGAATTCCAAAAATCGCTCTAATTATTCAATTACGCTACATAATAAACCTCTGTGCAAATCATCATATATAATCATCATCATATTCCTTGAACAGAATTTATTGTTCCAGAACGTTCAACCCTTCATTTCACACCCTTAGAGGGCGAATTTCAAAAATTGCTTCTTAGTGCTAAATTACGTTACATAAAGGAACGTCTGCAAAATTCATACTTCTACAACCGATTTTAACAAATTTTTGTACAAATTTTCATCCCTTATTTTTCAGGGGATGCATGCCTAAAATTCGCTTCTAGGTACTCACTTTCATCATTTAAGGGACCTCTGATCAGAATTTCATACTCCTAGTCCTAGAACAGAATTTTACATAAAAATTATACAAATTTTCACCCCTAGTTTTACCCCCTTAAGGAATGAATTCCAAAATCACTCTAATTATTCAATTACGCTACATAAGGAACCTCTGTGCAAATTCTCATATTCCTTGAACAGAATTTATTGTTCCAGAACGTTCAACCCCTCATTTCACACCCTTAGAGGACGAATTTCCAAAAATTGCTTCTTAGTGCTAAATTACGTTACATAAGGAACGTCTGCAAAATTCATAATTCTAAAACCGATTTTAACAAATTTTTGTACAAATTTTCATCCCTTATTTTTTAGGGGATGCATGCCTAAAATTCGCTTCTAGGTACTCACTTTCATCATTTAAGGGACCTCTGAACAGAATTTCATACTCCTAGTCCTAGAACGGATTTTACATAAAAAATTATACAAATTTTCACCCCTAGTTTTACCCCCTTAAGGAATGAATTCCCAAAATCACTCTAATTATTCAATTACGCTACATAAGGAACCTCTGTGCAAATTCTCATATTCCTTGAACAGAATTTATTGTTCCAGAACGTTCAACCCCTCATTTCACACCCTTAGAGGGCGAATTTCCAAAAATTGCTTCTTAATGCTAAATTACGTTACATAAGGAACGTCTGCAAAATTCATACTTCTAAAACCGATTTTAACCTTTTGTACAAATTTTCATCCCTTATTTCTAAGGGATGAATGTCAAAAATTAGCTTCTAGGTACTCACTTTCGTCACTTAAGGAAACTCTGTACAAAATTTCATACTCCTAGAACTAACACTTTTTGTACAAAATTTCACCCCCCCGTTTCACTACCCTTAGGCTATACATTTCCAAAAATCGCTTATCAATGTTCAAATGCGCCACATCTGTGCAAAGTTCATACTCCTAGTAGGTACAGATTTTTTTTGTATAATTACATCCCTTTATCTAATTACACCCCCTTATGGGTCGAATTTTAAAAATTACTTAGTAGTGCTCATCTTAGAGAACGAATTAATATTCTCCGTATTTACTCCAGTTTCCTAATACTAGCACAGATAACACATAATCATACTAGTTAATTTTTTATTGGAATAGAAGTAATTTTTATTAGAAGGTACAAAAAATTAAAAATCTAAAATTTTATTTTCATAGCTAAGTTTTTCATAGCCTTAGGATGCCTCATGTACTATCGAATATACGAAATATATAATCAATACATATTTCTTTAAATATCGAGAAATAAAATATGTTTGGCAACACCGTACGAAATATCGCCGCGCGTAGTCCTCAAAATTTAAAATATTAGCATTTTCAGGCTTCGATTATGTTCAAAAGCGCCACCGTATGACAAATCACTAAAGCTTCCACACGAGAGTTCTTAAAACTATAATATTCTTTGATTTTACTAAAATATTATATAAATAAGCGCATTTCTACAACAACGCCACTGACTCCCAATTGGTAAATTGAGAGTTGCCTACCGGTCGAAAGTCGTTTCAAGACTTAAATGGATTATATAAGTCAAATTTCTTGCAAATTTGGCACTGGCGAACCATATTTTATAGTTCTTGAATACAAAAAGTAAATAAAATAAACATTTAAGGACTACAAACTAAGAAAATGCAATAATACAACCAGAGAGAAGTAGCGGCAACAATACTTTACTACACACGTGCGACGTGCGACGCGTACTACAAGTCAATAGATGAATGAACAGGCTACCTCGCCTCTAATCGGTGTTGCCATATTGTAAAGGATTTATCCTTTTTACATAGTATTCGACTTATAATTAAGTAGTATAAGGATTATTTAATACATCTATGGAATATTAAAACCTACTTTATTAATGTGTAGTATTAATATATCAATATATGTGTATAATAACTAAAAAAATATTGATAATATTAAAGACGTGACAACATAGGCTGGACGAGAAAGGTTTGGTCGGCTGCGGTCGAGTGTACCCAGAAGTAAACATGTGTACAAAAATGATTGTTTGACCGCGTTCAGATGTAAATAGTGTAGTCTATATTTTATTTTAAGTCTATGGTTGATACAGTGTTCTTATATGCGGTATTGCCGGATTTTGCATCAAAATTTCAAACCGCACAAGTAGGCATTTACGAAAAATGTTGCATCTAGGGTTGGAACTTTATTTTTCACTATTAGTTGCTCATTTGACTAAAGCTGTAATAGATTATATTTAGCCAAAGATTTAGCTTAAATATATTATCGTCATTTCAATAGTATACATAAAAGTTTCTAAAATAGTTTTTTAGGCATACCCATTGTATAGTATAATCAAGGGTATTAGGGTATTACTAAAGTACTTATAAAATGTATTAACAAAATGGTAAAAATAATTATGATTAACTAACAATAATAAAAAATAGCAACTACAAATACGAATAAAGTAAAAAATACATTTATAAAATATGAATGAAAATTTAAATTTAAAATTTTCTTCATTAATGATTTTTTTAGATTACAGACCATATCTGCCATATCCAAGTGATTATGGAACTCCACAAAATATACCCGGGCCTTCATACTTACCCCCGTCCGATGACAGACCAGATCCTAATACACCTAATTCAGGATATAGTGGTGGATTTCTAGCCATCGACAGAAGGAAATACCAGTCATATAATCAGTTCGATTCATTTGAATCTGAAACTAGTGGGTAAGTAGGTATTTTTAACAAATTTTATACAGGGTGGACCGAATTGTATTCGGAAAACTTCGGCAGTATATTTTGCAAATAAAAATAAGTAAAAAAGTTTGTAATGTACCTATGTCCTAAAACGCTTCGTTTCGGGGATACAGGGTGTAGCAGTTTCATTTTTATTTCGATTTCTTCCAAATTTCTGAGCCAACGCAGATATTTGGATGAAAATTAGTAATTCGATTTTGATGTCAGTGTGACTCCTACTTGTAGGTGGCGCCTAAACTCACATATGTTTAGCTGTTTTAAAAAGTAATAATTTTTGGAGGAAAATTATTACTAAAATACTAATTAATAACCCCTGTATTACACTACTGAGTGAAAAAATATATATATTTCCGTCACTTTTTACGTTAACAAGATCCCTTGGTAAAAGTCGCTACGAGTAATAATTCTCAAGATATTTGGATTGAAAATAGCCAATACATGTCATAATTATTGAAAAAAATTATACATGTCGACTGGATAGTTATTAATCTGAAATAATAAATTTGAAATACATATTTTTGTGTCAAAGATTCAACAGAAACTGTCTTATTGTATTTTTTTCTAGAAAAATGTATAATTAGCTTAAAAAACAAAAGTTTCTCCAAATTTATCATTTCCGTTAAATAACTATCCAATCAACATGTTTATTTTTTGTCAATAATGAGATGTATTGACTAAAGGTACATTCAGGCTGAGAGCGTCGAGCGTCGCGTCCGCCCCATTGAACTCGAACCCCGACGCTCAGCGGACGCGAGCGCAACGCCAATCGAGATGCTGTCTGCCTGAACGGTCTAATTTAAGTTAAATGAATTGATTTCATTTCGACACGCGGACGCGACACAAACGCGATGCGACGCTCGACGCTCTCAGCCTGAATGTACCTTAATGCCATTCCTAATATATTTTGAAAACGGTTGCTCGTAACGATTTTTTCCAAGAGACATTTTTTACGTAAAAAATTACTGAAAAATTTTTAACTCGTTAGTTTTCTACAGGTACGGGCGAAAAGTTATTTATATATACAGGGTGGTCCGAACTGTATTCCGGAAACTTCGGCAACATGTTCTGCAGATAAAAATAAATAAAAAAGTTTGTATAAATGTATGTCCTAAAATGCTTAGTTTCAGAGATACAGGGTGTAGAAGTTTCATTTTTATTTCGATTTTTTTAAAATAGTTTCTGAAGTAACGTCAATATTTGGATGAAAATTGGTGTCTAGGAGTTTTTTGACATGAGAATTTTGATTTCGATTTCAATATGACTCCTACTAGTAGAGGACGCCACCTACATGTGTTTTAATTGTTTTGAAGCGTAATAACTTTTTGTCTGTACCTGTATAAAACTACCGAGGGAAAAAATATACATCTCTGTGACTTTTTACGTAAAAAAATATCTCTTTGTAAAAATCGCTACGAGCAATCGTTCTCAAGATATTTACAATGGAAATAGTCAATACATATCATTATTGACGAAAAATAAGCATGTTGAGTAGATAGTTCTTTGACTGAAATGATAAATTTGGAAAATATTTATTTTTTTAAATTAATCATAAATTTTTCTGCCAAAAAATGATGGTAAAACAGTTTCTGTTGAACTTTTGGCACAAAACATTTCAAATTGATGATTTCAGTCTAATAACTATTTAGTCAACATGTTTAATTGATGTCAGTGATGACAGGTATTGATAATTTCAATTTCAAATATCTCGAAAACCATTACTCGTAGCGATTTTTACCAAAACACTTTTTTACGTAAAAAACGTCGTAAATATATATTTTTTTACTGAGTAGTTTCATACAGGTACGGACGAAAATATATTACTCTTCAAACCAATTAAAAAATATGTAGGTGGCGCCCTCTATTAGTAGGAGTCATATTGACATCAAAATCTCATGTCAAAAAACTCTCAGACACCAATTTTCATCCAAATATTGACGGTACTTCAGAAATTATTTGGAAAAAAACCGAAATAAAAATGAAACTTCTACACCCTGTATCTCCAAAACTAAGCATTTTAGGACATACATTTATACGAACTTTTTTACTTATTTTTATCTGCAGAATATGCTGCCGAAGTTTCCGAAATACAGTTCAGACCACCCTGTATACTCTTCAAATCAGTTAAACAACATGTAAATGGCGCGATGGCGCCCCTACAAGTAGGGGTCATATTGGCTTCGTAATCAAATTTCTCAAACACTCCGATACCAATTTTCATCCAAATATCGACGTTAGTTCAGAAATTATTTTCTGATTCTCTTATTTTTTAAATTACTAAATGGAAGGATAAATATCTCAGCTACTGAACTTCCTTCAGCAGCTAATTTGTTTATGCCGTTTTAACGATTTTCTCTAAAACTATACATCCAATGATGGCCTTGAAAATTTTGTCTTTCAAACAGTGATTTGATGATAAAATATGTTATGGTAAAGATTGCGTAATTTTGAAATTAATGTGGATAGTAAAGTAATTCTTTTTTAGATATTACCCAATACGTCCGAACAATCCAGATTTTAACTACTACGATAATTATGATAGACCGGACCCTGCTAGACCCAACAGATATGGATCAGTAATACCTCATCCCAGTGACTATCTGTTTCTTCGTCCAAATCCAGATAACTACGATCCACCACCTCTAAAGCCACTGCCAACAGGAGGCTATAATAGCAATGATAAACCAAGGCCTCCAAATAACTACTACAATCAAAATAGCGACAGAAACGATCAAAATCTAGGTTACAATGATCGAAATACTAATCAAGGTTACGAAAAACCTTTACCAAGTTGGCCCAGCCGTCCAAGCCAAGATAACCCAATCGCGCCAAGACCTATTAAGCCTGTTACAGAAATTAATGGGTATGATGGGGTTGATTACACTAACAAACACTATGGTAAACCTGGAGAATATCAGGATGATAAAAATGAAGGTGGAAAGAAAGTTATTTCGCATAGCATAGGGCACCATGGTGAAAAGATTACGGCAATTATTACAGAGATAAACAATGGTAAGTACGTAGATATACTATTTAATAATAAATAATAAGTAATATTTCATAAATTCACTAGTTTTGAGTAAGTGAAAAATATTTTGTCATTTTCTACGTAAAAAATGTCTCTTGGTAAAAATCGCTACGAGCGACCGTTTTATATAAAAAAAATTCGCGCCTGGAGACACGTATCGCCGCCCATATTAAAATATGTTAATAAAAAGTTGGTAGCAGTTCTTAGTTTCAATTATCTCAAAAACTGCGACTTTGACTGATTTTGATGTTATTACAAATTTTGTTGCAAATATTATTCCTAATCTTAAATTGAAAACCGCGTTTCGCTAGCTACTGTAATTTTGGAGTTACGATTATTTAAAAATTTTAACCCCCTCCCATACCCCCTTACCAACCCCCCACCCCCACCAAAAACTAATGGCCAAATTTTCGGGTGCCACAGTATTTTTGTGCCAAATTTGGTTAAAATCGGTTTAGCGGTTTTTGAGTTATCGTGTTACAGACAGACGGACAGACGGACAGACAGACAGACAGACACCATGAAAATATTTTGTATTTAGGTCATTTATGACCCAAATAACTCATTTTGAGTGAAATTAAAAAAACTTTTTTTTGCCGATCTTAATAGTCTATAACTATACCCTGTTGGTATGGTCGGCTAACAATTAACATGTTGACTAGATACTTGTTTGAGTGATGATAAATTTGAGAACTTACTATTTTTTTTCAGCCAATCATGAATTTAAAAAAAAATACGATAAAACATTTGAGTGAAAGAAATCAAACAGTGACTTTGTTGAATCTTTGACACAAAAACAATTAAAATTTATTATTTCAGACTAATAAATATCCAGTCAGTATATTTAATATATTTTTGGTAATTGGTTGATTTTTGTTAATCGTAACAATTTTTACCCAGGGACCACAGAATATACCAAGAAAAATAAAGGAAAGTGTCTTACTAAAAAATGGTTCTATGTTAATGTCGCCATCTATTAAGAGGGTCTGAATTTAAATACGCTCGTTTATATAATTTCACTTGGAACTATCGTTTTAAATATGAAAATCATCTTAAAAATTATTTTTCAAACAATATTAAAAAACCTAATGCAAAGCATTACTATATTACAGTTGAGAGTTGGAACATTTGGTGTTACACAGCAAAATAAAACACTAAATCACCACAATACACCAAAACATTTTTACTTTTACACTGGACGCGCGTTTTGCTAACCATGTTAGCATCATCAGCAGATGATTACAAATTACTATGTGTTGTGTAAAAAAATAAAATTTAACAGTTAAATTTATACATACAAAAAATAGAAGTCAAATATATAAACATCGTTTATTATAATAAAACAAAGTTTTTTGGAAATGGAGTAAATATAAATACGTAAGTATCCTTAAATAATGGAAAAAATAGAAGACATTATATTTTCAGGCTACAAACAAAAAGACTTGTCTAATTAAAACACATACCGATTTCGAAAACTGTGCGGTCGGGATTTTAACGTGTAAGACAGTGATGTAGACAGCTTAATGGAAAATCAAATATTATATTAAAATGGTATTGCTGGAGTTTGCATCAACATTTCAAACCGCACAAGTAGGCGTTTACGAAAAATGTTGCATTTAGTGTTGGAACTTTAATTTTTCACTATTAATTACACATTTTACTACAGCTGTAATAGATTATATTTGGTTTAGATCTTAGTTTAGATATGTTATCATCATTGCAGTAGTATACATGAAAGTTTTTAAAATAGCTTATATTTTTCTATACGCATTTTTCTACGTAAACGTAAAAAACCGGCAACAGTGTATGCCGCTTTTGATTTTGTCTCTCTGTCTGTCAACCGATCATTTATATTATTCTCTGTCACAAGCATTAAAATCCAGCCCACATAAATTGGATGACCAGCAGGGTATAATAAAAATTATACTTTGAAAATCATTTGATAATATGATTGGCGTATATATATATATATATATATAATATGAACGACAATATTTTTTTGAGAATTTGACAATAGTATGACAATTTAATGGCCGTTGGAAACTATGGAAACTAAAAAAATATGATTTAACGCCATCTGGCAATAACTAGTAGCAACTTCCTAACCTAAAAAATAATTGCACTGCCACCTAGCAACACGGTCTGAAACTATTTTATTCGAAATTTTCGTGGAAACGGTGTAACCGCCTTTGCATATTTCACTTTCCCGCCCCTGCAAGAGACTTTTTTTACGTCAAAACTGACGGAAACGTATATTTCTCACTCACTAGTGTAATACAGGTACGGACAAAAAGTTATTACTCTTCAAAATAGCTAAAAAATATGTTAGGGGTTAGGGGCGCCCCCTATCCCGCGTAGGACCTTTACTGACATCGAAATTGAATTTCTCATGGCAAAAAACACCCAGACACCAATTTTCAATTTTCACCCAAAACTTTTTTGCTTATTTTTACCTGGAGAATATACTATCAAAGATTCCGGAATAACAATTCGGACCACACTGTAAACTAAACTTACCTATACTTTGATTTGCTTTGACCCATTATTAAAAAATACGATACAATAGACTTGATACAATACAAGTAACATGTAAATAAACCATATAATATACAGTTTGATTTGATCACAGGCCTAAAATAATCATTTTTCAAGATCTTTATAAAAACAGAAAAAAAATTGAGTGTGCACTATGTGCACATATTTGAAGTGAAACTTCTTACTTCCGTCTGTTCATCTGAGGACTCCATTCGGGTACCTCTATCCACGTGCCGAATTTGGTTCTAATCGACCCATAATTAAGAAAAATCCTGATGATTTCGTCCATTTAGAGGCATCGGTTCGAATCGTCGAGGGCGTCATCCTGTAGCCCGTCCCCAATTATGCCGATAATAAATCGACCCACATTTTTATTCAATATCAAATCCTTAGTCCCATCCTGATGAAGATATAAACGAAACGTCGTCGTATCCAACTTTGCAGGGTGGGACCGTGTGTACCGTTGCTCAAATAGTCTACCCCCCAAATTTGGTCGCGATCGGACGACACCAACTTTTGACGGTTCTTACGTCAAAACTAACTGTCACAGTGACACGTGTACACGGTTAAGTTGACCTTGGTCCTTTTTAACGACAAACCAAATTTCATTTAAATCGGATGATTTTTTGATTTCATTCATTGATGATGGGGTTTCTCGTCAAAATATCATGAAAAGATGGGCCCTTCGTATTATATTTATTAACTAAATTTAAAATAATTCTGAAAAATGATAACTACAAAAATGTAGGCCACAGGAAAAGCCACAGAAATAAGGAATTTCAAAATATCAAAGCATTAAAAAAACATCTAAATATTTATTTTAGTAAAAAGCCTGGGCTTAGAATTAATTGAGATATTTAACAAATAGGTATTTCTTAAAATTATGAATTTTACATCAAATGGCTACCACAACTCTCTATTGTATAGTAAATTATATACTTACCTCATCGTTAATTGTTTGAGATAACTATCTCGTTGTATTATAACACCTGAAGGCTACATCTTTTACAGCCACTGCGATCACACTTTGTTGCTATTACGCATAACTGATGTCACTTTTGTATGAACTAAATTATGAGTTTGAACACTGTAATTTCTTATAATTAAGTGAGAATTTCTCTGTATAAAATTACATTAAAAAAAATCTTAAAATGAAAAATAAAATAATGCTTCACTCTGTATTAAAATAAAAGTCTATACAGGGTGTCACGATATTCCGTGAAAATAGAAATACTATTATACGTATTTTTGGAATCAAAATAAGTTAATTATAATTGAACATACCCTATTCAAATGCTTCGTTTTACTGTTAGGGGATATCAATCAAAAATAAATCCAAACGGTACTTTATAATTTAAAAAAAGTTAAGCTTATTGTCAAAAATTATTTATCTCACTGATACCTATATCATTCCACATTTTCTTCATCTAGATTATTATACAGGATGAGTCTTAAATAAATGCAAATATATTTAGGTCTGGTAGATCTCGATAAAAGAAACCTATTTTCTCTTTACCGTTTTTCAAATCCTTGCGGTCCAGAATAACGAAAATATTTTACTTTGACATTTTCAAAAAAACATTCAATTTTCGCTTAAATTTTAAGAACCACTATGGATCTTTTCTGGGTTTTCTTTCTTGTAAATTTAATCTACCACCTATGTTGCCATATTATAAAGATATGTTTTTTAACTAAAAATAAAAAAAAATATATGAAACGTTTTTCAAATTTTGAAAAATTTCTTTTTTATAGGGTCGAAATATACTACCTCTAAACATATTTGCACTTCTATAAGACTCACCATGTATACCCAACTAGATTTTAACGCTTGATGTGACTAGACATTTACACTGACTTGTCGGTCTGTCTGTCAGATGCGTCCAACGCTGGAACCAACGTTGGGCGCATCGTTTGGCATAGGCTTCGACAATATTGCAATTCATAAATGTGTCTCCTACCCGGCAAATGTTCATGTGTCCAACGTGGAAGCCGTGGAAGGTGTTTGACATATCGTGTGGGACCGGCTTTAGACAAACTTTACATAAATAAATTCATAATTTATTTTTCGACGAAGTCCAAATTTTGTACGAATTTCACAGCTCATTTGTCCGGACTTTCCAAAAACTTGTATGGAAACCCTATGTCCGGGTAGTTAAATTGTGGTAAAAAAGTTATGTATCAAAACTATGCTTTTCCTTTTGCTTTTTTCACAATATGTTTTTATCTTCTCGATAACCGTCGCAAGGTGCATCGTAGCGGAATAAATCGAGTTTTGATGTTAGGAATTTAACACTTTGAATTCGTCGATGACAAGAAGCTTCTAATTAGTACAGGAAGTCTCGAATTGAAATTGCAATTTTCATCTCTTATGTCGCTCTTAGAACTGACACATTAACGATGTGCGCTTATATTTTATTCTTTAACGAAGCGTATATAATACAGCAGGTTT